TAGCCTATCAATTTGCCCTTTGGATTCTGTAAAAAGGTTCTTGATCAATGTTATTTTTTTGTCAAATAATATAACATTATAAAATTACCTTATATTTACCATATATTAAAAAAAAATTATAATAAAAACATAAAGGCTATTAAAATTTGATTCATTATCGATCCCTCTTGCAGACCTTGTTTTGAATTTTATTAGACGTATGGATGTCAAAAATAATGTTTGTAATAAATTTGGCAGCCAAATAATTTTCAGAGCTAATTTAGCAGATCTCCTTTTTAGTTTCTTAAGATCTAGCATATGGTCAATTACTCTCAAATAAGCTCTAAAAAAATATTAATATCAGATTAGAGATCAGAAAGTAAATAGCTATTTTACTTTCTATTATGAGCTCAACAATCTGCTATTGTGCAGATATAAGATACATTTTATAGATCTAATGATAATAACTTTCATTTCTTAAAAATTAGGCAAAAGTCGTGCCATCAATGTCTGCCTGCAAAATATTTTGCTATCTGTATATGTCTTTACTAGATTAATCAATGAGGTATTATTAGACTTGTGAGCAGGTATTTTTGGTCAGCCGAAAACAACGCTGTTTATGAAAATCATGCCGGCGGGTCGCCTACAAAATTTTTTAAAAATAATTTCCATATTTTATACATTTTTATTCTAATAATAGGGCAACATGACTTTTATAAAAATTTTTATGCCAATCAGGATTTATGAATTATTATTTTATATCTATTTTAACACCATAATTATTATGACATGATTTTAGAATTCAATCAATCAAATAGCTAAAATTCCAAAAGTTGCTATATTTTTACATATTTTTAAAATCAAGACTCAATTTTAAAAAGGGTGTTTGGTTGAGTGAATATGAACATCACTTATGCTTGAGTCACGGTTTACATAATCTGGTTACAGTGGATGCTATTAAATACCTTTTGTTGAAAATCTTATCAAAAGAGTAAGAGAAATTATTACTGCTCTAAGATAAAAAAAAACTGCAAATAGCTTGAGCCTATCTGACCAAATAAAAATATAATTACTAACGTTATGAAAAGAATTGGTAAACACTATCTAAAACTATGAATCAGATCTAGTAGAAGAAATATTAGCGTATCTTTCAAAATTCAAAGAAACAGTTGAATTTCCATTTGTAGACCTACCTCTAACTTGTTATTACTTTTTAGAAGTGAAATTGAAACAAATCCATAATCTTTTAAAAATCTTGGATATTTCGCAATTTAATTCTTATTGATTTGCCAATTCTTTGTGATCAGTAAATTGACCAAATACCCTTAGATATAAAGAAGATAAGTGATTGGCGTTAGACTTTATACCTCAACTGGAAAGTAATAAAATCTTCACACTTCTGAAAAATTGAGAAAGATAACTCGTAATAAATTTTTATGTTTTATATGGTGAATCTAAATATTTTTTTTAAAAAAAGTGATTGTGTTTTAATATAAATCGCGAAAAAAAATATCTTCTGCAATTTGGAAGTTTTGACTTTGCAAACCATTTTTACATAAGTTACTAATTAGGAATTACTTTTATAAAATTTGTTTATTCTCCTTCGAAGCCCGTAATGTTGGGGAATTTTTTCAGAATCAAGTTTAATACTTATAAGTAGTGATGATCAACGGTTCGGTTCTATCTGTCTTCGGGGCTGGACTGAACCGAGTAATGGATCGATCTTCTTTGAGGACCACAGTTCAAACCAATCTTTTTATTTTTAGGCCAGGACAGTGACTTGACCAGTCATTTTTTTTAAAATTTGCATTCCTATTTTTTTTTGTACAGGATCGTGATTTTCATTACTTATAAATACTTTTGATCTTTAAATAAAATTCAAGTTTAAGATTTTTAAGAAAGATATGGATTTTTTTAGGTTCAAATCTGGATGAGAATATAACACTTTAATATATTCTTATTAGGCCTATTCAAAAACGAATTTGAATCAAATAGTGCATTAACGAATCGAATAATTTACTATTTGAATTCGTACGAATAATAAAATCTACTATTTGTATTCGATTCGAATTAGTCGAATATTTCGAATAATTCGAATTAACTTTTTAATAAAATAAATCATACTCAAATATATTGACAAATTTTTTTATTACAAATTTGATTTTAAACAGAAAAAATTATAATAATATGTAATCAATAATCTGATAATAAATAATATATAATCAAGTTATAAACAAAATTAAAATATATATTATCAATTTAATTTATAATTTAAGCCAATTTTTAAGGCTAAGAGTTTTTCATATATTTTCTTCCTTACATGACATGCTTTTTTGACAATAAATTAGCTCCAAATGAGAAAAGCCTTTCACAAGCAGTTGATGTTCCTTGTATAGATAGATAATCCCTTGCCATTTTCGAGAGTATGGGGATCCGATATGCATTTGCCTTCCACCACATTAACGGGTCAGTATCACTCTTTGCTCTTGGTTCACTCAGATGAAAATCTACACACAGTTGAATATTATTTTGTTTAAAAACAATGTATAGCCTGTTTTGTTGAATTTTATCCTTATTTGTTTGACAGTTATAATTATGAGCTTATAAAATAAAATCATATTTAAATGGGGGTAAATTAAATACCTGTATATCTATTGTAAATCTCTTTAAATTTGTCCATTAACTTGGATATATCAATATCATAATCAACAGATATTGATTTAAAATATTCTACTTTAAGTCTGGGATCTAATATTGTGGTTATTATTGCATCATCGGCAGTTAAATTATAATAGCCCAACAATTTATCACTGCTACTTTGAAACTATTGTTAAAGGATTTATGGAAACCAGGTTTTTCATTTTTTAGATGTTCAAGAATTAAAATATAATAAGGTATAACCAAATTATAAGTAGGATAATTCTCCCCACATACCATATTTGTAGTTTCATATAAAGGCAATAGTATAGCTTTAATTTTTATAAGATCCTCCCATTCTTCCTATGACAAATGTTAGATTTATTAAACAATTTATTAAATATTACGAATAATTCATTTTATTCGAATAATTCGTTTTATTCGAATAATTCGTTTTATTCGAATAATTCGTTTTATTCGAATAATTCGTTTTATTCGAATAATTCGTTTTATTCGAATAATTCGTTTTATTCGAATAATTCGTTTTATTCGAATCGAATAAATGATTATTCGTATTCAGATAAAACAAATAATTTATTATTCGTATTAGTAATTACTCGAATCGAATCGAATATTCGAATTATTTTTGAATAGGCCTAATTCTTATATAAAAAATATTGAATAATTAATGTCTACATAGATTTTGATTATCACAATTTTTAATTTACTAATAATACCAACAAAATAAATATAATATTTTTTTAATAAAAATTTCCCCTTTTAGTAAGCTTGACATAGTTTTAACCCAAGATCTTTCACCTTAACCTTAGGTTTTATAAAATATAAAGCTTAACATTGAAGTAAATATGCATAAATTAGCTCAAAATTCAATGCTTAGCCTAGTGTTGTTAAACGACTCGTTTTGAGCCGAATTTTAAAAACGGTTAACTCAATATTTTATTCAGAATTATATTACGCAAGCATGAAGATTTTGCTTGTAGAAGGAACAAAGGTTTGGACATCTACTAGCGCAATCTAGAGGCTTAGTCAAAATTAATCTGGATAAAATATTGAGTTAGCCGTTTATAAAAATCGGCTTAAAACGAGTCGTTTAACAACACTAGCTTAGCCGATTGGGATTCACCTAGATCAAAAAAATTTTCAAAAAGATATCAGTAACACTACCAATTTTTCTAATTATTTAAAATAATAGATTTTATGAATACATATTCTTTTTTTTATGAATTCTTAATAAAATTTTATATAAAAATACCTGATTTTAAATATCAGATAAGGTATTAAGATGGGAGTAAATATGACCGATACTTTAAATTGACCGATCCGGTATATCAAAATAAGGCATAAATTAATTTTTTACAATATTAATTAAATCATAGTGGCTAGTTATAAATATGGTATTTTTTTTGAATTGGAATCCCCAAAGTTATCTCTATATGCAGAAGTATTTTAAGTCTGAGTTAAAAAAAATATAAAAATATTTTTCAGTTTCAGTTGGCGATTTAATATTACTCATCTTTATATTATTATAAATTCTAGTAAAAAAACAGATATGGTATATCCCCCTCCCCCCACCCACTCTAAAACATATTTTGTGAATTATGTGAATAACTTGTATTAATGAATGCTGAAAAAAAAACCTTCATCATAAATTTGACAATGTATTTATTCTGTCAGATATGATATTAATATCAACATTAAAATTATTCTTAATATCGAAACGACGAATACTCTTTACCTGACTTAAATTTGTGCCAAGGCCAACGATTAGTATTTTTTTTAATATTTCTTATTCAATATTCACATATTAAATTTTTGTATAAATACATTTAAACTTTTATTTTTATTAATATTTAATAATAAAATCAAAGAACTGATTAAGATTAGATTAATTATTTTAAATATTATACTTGTCCGATATAATTAGCATTTATAACTACACATATATATCTATAGAAAATATAAAGATTCCCTACTAAATGCCCCAAAAATTTAAAATATTTTAGCAGATTGAGAATATCAAAGTTTCTAGCACTAACAAGATTAAATTCGGTCTATAGTTGCAACTTGCAATGCATGTCCTTTAAAAATATTTTCTAACCTATAGGTATAATAATTAATTAATTTGAGTATTCAAGATTAAATTTAATTAAAGTTAATTAAAAAGTTATTTTATAGGCTATAAAAAGATAAGATAAATTACCACATAATAAAATATGCAATATTCAACTTATATTATACAATCCTTATAACTTAATTTGTTTAAATTTTTTTTTGTTATTAGATAGGTAAGATTTATAATTATTTTATTTATTTTCATCAAGATGTTGTTTATTAATTTATTATAATTTTTTTAAAATATATACATTTTATTAATCGAAATTAAATATTATTTAAAAATTGGTTTGTCTAATATTTATTTATTTCCGAATAACGCATTGATTCTTTAGAATGGTAAAATTATATTTTATCGTTTCTATATAAAATATATTAAGGTACGAGGACCTAAAAAACATTTAAAAAGATTAAATGCCCCCAAGCATTGGATGCTTGATAAGCTAACTGGAGTATTTGCGCCCAAACCTAGCCCAGGACCTCATAAATTGCGCGAATGTTTACCATTAATTATATTTTTGAGAAATAGACTTAAGTATGCCTTGACTGGTGATGAAGTGAAAAAGATTGTAATGCAAAGACTAATCAAAATTGATTGCAAAGTTAGGACAGATCCAACATTTCCAGCTGGCTTTATGGGTAAGTATATTTTTGCATCAAATAATAGGCTTATTCGAAGCATTTTTATTTAACTAAATATAAATGTCAAAATAAGCCAAAATTAGATTCTTTATTTTGGTCGCTGTATAGTTTTATAATATATTGGCATTACCCAAAAGGAAAACAATATATTTCTTAATTTTAGATGTAATAACTATTGAAAAGACTGGAGAAAATTTTCGGCTAATTTATGACACAAAAGGTAGATTTGCAATACATAGAATAACTCCCGAAGAAGCTAAAGTTAGCATTTTAATTTTTTTAAATATATTTTATTTTTATATTATAGTATAAACTTTGCAAAATTAAAAAACTAACAGTTGGACCCAAAAGAATACCTTTTGTTGTTACACATGATGGCCGAACAATCCGATACCCACACCCAAATGTTAAAGTAAATGACACAGTAAAAGTTGATACTGCAACAGGAAAAATCTCTGATTATATAAAATTTGATTCAGGTTAATATTGATTTTAACTTCTTTTCAATTTTTGATCTAGGTAATTTATGCATGATAACTGCTGGACATAATATTGGTAGAGTTGGTCAAATAACAAGTAGAGAAAAACATCCTGGTTCATTTGATATTGTACATGTTAAAGATGCCTTAGGTCATTCATTTGCAACAAGGTGATAACTTTTTTTATATCCTATCTTATATTCAATATTTAGGCTAAGCAATGTTTTTGTAATTGGCAAAAATAATGTTGCATGGGTATCCCTTCCAAAAAATCAAGGTATCAGATTAACCATTGCTGAAGAAAGAGACAGAAGAATAGCTAAAAAACAACATTAAATTTTTTATATACAAATATAATATATTTATTAATTATAATAAACGAATAAATCATGACCTTTTAAGATGGTGTTATGAACATAGAGATATTAAAATTAAATTTTTAGATAAAATGTTGAAAATAAATTCTTATGATCTTTAATTTCTTTACTGCAAAATATTATACCTTTGATAAAATTTAATCATTTATAATAGTACTATATCTGTGGTGCAACTATGGAGAGAAGTTCAAACCTCTTAAATTTTAAGTTACTTTAAAAAATTTGAAAAAATTGGTTTTTAATTCTCTTTGAACTGAAAGTTTAGAAGCCTATGATTTTTAGCAGTATATAAATCATCAACATTTAATATTTATACAATTTTTAAATCATAATTGAATAAACAACTATAAATTCTTAGTTCATTGTCAATTTGTTTTGCTTTTAATGAATAAAAAATTATGATTTTTATCATAAACACCTGTAGGACTAATTTTTTAAGTTAGATGAAATGTAGGAGCAGACACCTTCCTACCAGAAATGTTTAAACTGCACACTTATTGATCGATTTGAGCAAAAACATTGTAATGCAAATTTCAGGAGAACTACTTAGTATAAAGTTCAAAAATGATTAAAATAACAGTTATGAAGATATAAATGTTTTTTAAAAACAATGTGAAATGCGATATATTCAAATGATGCGCTCTTGCTGCTCTCATCAAAACCTGTGAGGTCTCTAGATTTGATCTAATTTAGATAAGTTTGAGAATGGAGATCTTTTTTTCTGCTAATAGACCTTGATCCTACAAATTTATTTTTTTTACTTCTAAGATAAAATATTCCTTTTCACAAAGTGATTGCTTATTATTTAAAAAATATATAGAATGTCATATTTTAGTTACTTGCCAATTTTTAGATTAAATTTATTAAAACAGTTTCAATGAAAGAGAATGCCTTGTTGATATTGGTAATGTAAAAAAGATTTGAATCTGGAACGCGATTTTATCTTTATGAAAATATTGTAACAAGCCTGACCAACCAAAAATATTAGAATATATTTTAAAATGAGTAAGTGAGGTATTGGTGTTGAGTACAGAGGCATGTCAGTTCACTTCAATTAAAATGGAAGCTCTTGTATCTCGAAATTTTTGCCTAACAGTTAATTATAAAAATTTTTTAGATTTTTGTGGGAAATGTGTTTTGCAATAGTAATAAAAAATAATTGCAAACTTTCTTTTGATTAAATATACAAATAAAATTTTTTAATCCTATTATATAATTTGACAACTTTTAATAGTTATGAAACATAACTTAATATGAATTGAATGGCATTTAAAGTGACAATAAAGTAATTCCTATCAACATTTGTACACCGACATTTTCTTTCATTTACATATTATATATGTGGAACTATAATATAATGGAAAAAAATCGTTTGCCTGAAGATTATGAAAGAAAGCTTTTGTTTTAATTTTTATCTTAGATGGCTAGGTTCAAAATATTTTATTTTCTGACAAAAAATACTATCAAATATTTATTTTTTTGTTATGTATCTATTGTGTCATTATCAAAATTAAACAAGTTGAACTCTCTATTTTATTGTAATACTGATTTAGATCTATATTTTATAGGTAGACCAAGAACATGTTGAACCAAGGTACACATAGTCCAAGAATGTTGCCCTAAAAAATTCAAACTTATTTTTTTTAAAGTATGGTTTTTATAAAAATTTAAATATCCTAAATTCTAAGGATTCCAAATTTTATATTTATCCAGATTAGTTGGTTTAATAAAATTGAAGTTTGAATGAAAAGTATACCAATGTTCCCCGGTCTCCCTTAATTTTAATGTTTTTAAAGGTTCAACTTTTAATGTGTACTAGATTTTTAAATTATCAAGTATAATAATAATTTAAAATTATCAACTTTATAATTAAGAATGACATTTATTTTATACCAATTTGATTTCTTAATAAATAAATCGAAGGCTTGAAAATATACGTAATAATATAATTATTATATAAATTATTAGGCACACAAATATGTTATTTAATTAAAATCGAACTTTTAAACTTAATAAAATATTCAATATTTGGTTTTTTTTTAAATGTAACAAATTTTTGAAAATGTATTAAGTAATAGTATACAATACAATGTTATGTAAAAAAGTATTTGTGCTTCACCCTCACCACAGTGTACATTTTATTTTAGGGTTCATTGGCGAATCAGCGGGACACTGAAATGCTTTAGAAAATTCCACGAAATTAGACACTGTTCCTATTATTCTTTAATATTTAAAACGATATATTAAAGTTAAGATTTGTATAATTGAAGTGGCATTCCCTAAGAATAATGAATTTAAAAATTTCACAACACAATTATTTATTATAATCATAAATAAGAATTATTATTTATTTGTAAAATTATTTTATAATTATTGGTGTTAACCAACCTAGCTTTAGGGCGACTATGCTCATCGGTCAATATCAAGAAATCATTGTACTTTTTGGTTTGAGTCGCACAAAATGTCTTCAATATTTATTATAATATATTATTTTATTTATTAAATCAAATTTTTAAAATGAGATATTTTTTTTTTGTTCATACCTGGGCAAACGATATGAAAAATAACTGATCGGATGTTAAATTAACTCCCGGCAATTTAAAGGCATCCGAAAAGTTTTTAGGATTTGACGATTTATAAGCCTAAAATTTTCAATAAAATTATTTTGAATTCAAATATAATCTGTTTTACCATATATGCTAATTTTAGGCCACCGTTGTCTGCTAAATTTTCATCAAGTGTTCTATTTCCATTTATCTGATTTAATTATATATGATTTTATAAACATTTTTAAAATTAATAAATTATAATTTACATTTGATCCTAAGATGGCAATGGAAGAATATTGATCCTGGAAACAGGGTATTTTCTTTTTAAAATTTTGTATAGAATCGTTTTTCCACCATTGTTTTAAATGACCATCAACATCGAATTGTCTTCCTTTACAATAAATTATAGTAAATAAGTAAAAGAGAAAAAAATGTTGCATGTAAAAATTAAATTTAAGACCGGGGATGATATAAGTTCGGTTCAGAGTATCTCCAACCATATATCTTATTCACTAAACGCCTAACAATAAAGGTTGAATTTATTTTACTTAACATGCCATTTTCAGTCATGTATGATTGTATAATATGGTTTTTATTTAATAATTAAAAGTTGTCTCAAAAATCATAATATATCCATTTTTGAATTGAAAAAAAAACCCTAATCTAAGTGCACTTTATTTTAAATCATAGAGGATTGGGGGCTTCTGGCATGTTAAAGGTTGGTATGAGACATCAAGCAAACCATAATGGACAATCTTATTTTTTCCATAACATTTGATCCAAAATCAGTTCTACCTCATTCTAAAAAATATTAAATATAAAACTGAGGCAAATTGAATCTAATAGATGATTTCATTTGTAGTGCAGCTAAAATTACCCCGAACATTTCCAGTTAGAAATAAGAAATTTCTATAAAAAAGTTAATATATTTTTTTTTAATCTACACCAATGCAATAGGCGCATTATGTAAGACGAATAAAATGAAATATAATTTTGTAAAATAATTATTATTTTGAAATTTATGAATGTGCAAAGTAAATATTTTTAAAAATTTAATTGGTATATAGTAAAATTTAAAATGTGATAATTGTTTATGATTTTATAAAAAATAAATAAAATTAATTGGAATTTATTGCAGGATATTGTTTAAAATATAATTTAAAGATTAAATTTTAAATCTATTATAATAACGAATCAAGATATTTAATATAATTTTCACTTGATTATTATGGGTAATGCCTTCCCTGCAGCCTACCTTTTTTAATCGTTTCAAATATAAGTGTTACTTCCCAAATATATCTAATCTTAGTGTTGTTAAAACGCCGCGAGTCGCGACCCCGACCCAAAGTTCGGGTCGTTTTTTTCGACCTCGACCCGAGTTCAAGCCGAAAAAAACGACCTCGAAGTCCAAACCGAAAAAACGACCCATATTTTGGGTCGAGGTCGTTTATTTCGACTAAAACTTGAAGTTTATTTTTTAAGGCAAATTGGTTAAAATATATTTTGCAAACATGTTAAATTATATTTTGCAAACATGTTAAATTAAAATTTCATTGAAGATGTACCATAGGAAAGTGACAATTGTCATAATCGTCATTTTTGAACTTTTTTCAATTTTTTTAAGGCAAATGGGTAAAAATATATTTTATAAACATGTTAAATTTAAATTTCAGTGAAGATGTACCATAAGAAAGTGACAATTGTCATAATCGTCATTTTTGAACTTTTTTCAATTTTTTTAAGGCAAATGGGGTAAAAATATATTTTATAAACATGTTAAATTTAAATTTCAGTGAAGATGTACCATAGGAAAATGACAATTGTCATAATCGTCATTTTTGAACTTTTTTCAATTTTTTTAAGGTAAATGGGTAAAAATATATTTTGAACATGTTAAATTTAAATTTCAGTGGAGATGTACCATAAGAAAGTGGCAATTGTCATAATCGTCATTTTTGAACTTTTTTCAATTTTTTTAAGGCAAATGGGTAAAAATATATTTTATAAACATGTTAAATTTAAATTTCAGTGAAGATGTACCATAGGAAAATGACAATTGTCATAATCATCATTTTTGAACTTTTTTCAATTTTTTTAAGGTAAATGGGTAAAAATATATTTTGAACATGTTAAATTTAAATTTCAGTGAAGATGTACCATAAGAAAGTGACAATTGTCATAATCGTCATTTTTGAACTTTTTTCAATTTTTTTAAGGCAAATGGGTAAAAATATATTTTGTAAACATGTTAAATTTAAATTTCAGTGAAGATGTACCATAAGAAAGTGAAAATTGTCATAATCGTCATTTTTGATTTTAAGGCAAATGGGTAAAAATATATTTTATAAACATGTTAAATTTAAATTTCAGTGAAGATGTACCATCGGAAAATGACAATTGTCATAATCGTCATTTTTAAACTTTTTTCAATTTTTTTTAGACCAATGGGTAAAAATATATATTGTAAACATGTTAAATTAAAATTTCATTGAGGATGTACCATAGGAAAGTGACAATTGTCATAATCGTCATTTTTGAACTTTTTTCAATTTTTTTAAGGTAAATGGGTAAAAATATATTTTATAAACATGTTAAATTTAAATTTCAGTGAAGATGTACCATAGGAAAGTGACAAGTCATAATCATCATTTTTGAACTTTTTAAAATATTTTTTAAGGTAAATGGGTAAAAATATATTTTGAACATGTTAAATTTAAATTTCAGTGAAGATGTACCATAAGAAAGTGACAATTGTCATAATCGTCATTTTTGAACTTTTTTCAATTTTTTTAAGGCAAATGGGTAAAAATATATTTTGTAAACATGTTAAATTTAAATTTCAATGAAGATGTACCATAGGAAAGTGACAATTGTCATAATCGTCATTTTTGAACTTTTAAAAATTTTTTTTAGACAAATGGGTAAAAATATATTTTGTTAACATGTTAAATTTAAATTTCAGTGAAGATGTACCATAGGAAAATGACATTTTTGAACTTTTTACAATTTTTTTAAGGCAAATGGGTAAAAATCATCTTCACTGAAATTTTAATTTAACATGTTTGCAAAATATATTTTTACACATTAGCTTTAAAAAAATAAACTTCAAGTCTGAGTCGAAAAATACGACCCATATTTTGGGTCGAGGTCGTTTTATTCGGCTTGGACTCGGGTCGAGGTCGAAGAAAACGACCCAAAATTTGGGTTAGCTCTGTTCGAGCAGACTCGGCTAAGCCGATTAACAACACTATCTAATCTATTAATAGCATTTTTGAGATTTTTTAGATTACATAAGAAAAATTCCCAATTTTTGCGATTAATAATTAATATAACTTAAGAGTAGTTCAAAAGTACACTTTAAACTTGTTTGAAACTCGTAGTGTGAGAGTGATTACTCTATTATATATGCTGGACCTTTCCAGTCAAATCAGATTTTTTGTAAAAATTGTCCTCAGTAAATAATTTAAAACTGAAATATTTCGAACGGATTCCGTATCCAGTCGTTATGACATGCAGTTTCTACAATTATGATATCTTTTCCCCACCAAGGAACAAGATTTCAACTGATTTTCTCATCTCAATTTTTTAGTTAATAAAAAGATTGATTTTAGTTAGTATATAAATTTATTTGAAAAGTAAGGTCTACTACTATCTAAGTATATATATATTCTATCAAAAATAGAGAGTGGGAATTTATCAAAAACAGATAGTGAAAATTAATCATAAATTATTTTGATAATCTTTTCATAACAATTGCATTTATCTTCGCCTTCATAAATTTGAATTCATTCTACTAATAAATTTGATTGTTAGGTAAGGTAAAGTATATAATAACTATTACAAGCACTTATATCAAAATATATACGTTTACGTATTTTCACAATTAATCTCTTCAGAAATGGTATACAATGCAAGTACTATTGTGGTTGATGGAAGTTTTTCATATATAATATATGCGTAAAACATACACATATGTCTGTCTAAATAAATATATGTATTTAATTTTCCTGGGGATAGTAATTTATATATTAAATTTCACTTTTACCTTTTAACGCTTCCTATTTTCTTTTATTTTTTTTCTTTACTCTTTTTATTTTATTTTTTTTCACCTATTCTAAAAATTGAATCTTCAAATTGGAAAGAAAAATATCATAACTAACAAAAATTAAACATAATCAAAAGAAAAAGAAAAACATGTCAATAAATAAAATAATCGATAAAAGAAATTTTTATATAAAAAAAATCTATATATCACAGCTTCCCCCTAAAAAAATAACATTCGTCCTTCTCCGTATCTGATAATAAATATTCCAAAAGGTCATCCAAATCCTCGGACCAATCTTGTTCTTGGGATGCCGTACTTCTGATAGCGTTGTCCCATTTTCCAGTATCCGTAGTTTCCACTGGTCCTCGTGTTAAAACCTCTCTCTGTCAATTGTTAGTTGCACACCGACCTCCCCTGGATTCGGTTCTCCCCACCTTCCTGCATTTGGATCAAACCGTCACTAGCGCCATGATTCCGGCACTCCCGCCATTACCGGTTCCACTGACCCTAAACGGATGCCCACCTCAGAATTCTCTCAGGAAAACCAGCGTCGTATATGTCCAAGCTGCATGTTCAAAGACATAGAAATACACTTTATAATAGCGCACCGGCAGAGGCCCATGGAGCGTTCGCACCGCGAAAAGAGCCACAATCCCAGATGGATATAGGACTGAGGAGTATACGACGATATGAGGGGAGGGGGGTGCCGCCAATGTTTTAGATGCGGGGAGCAAGGACTTATACGACGCTGGTGTACCTGGGAGAATTCAGAGGTGGACAGCCGTTCAGGGTCAGTGGAATGGGTGATGGTGGGAATACCGGAATCATGGCGCGAGTGGCGGTTTGATTCAATTGCAGGAAGATGGGGAGATCAGAATCCAGGGGATGTCGATGTGCATCCATCAATTAACATGACGAGAGAGGTTTTAGCACGGGAGTCAGTGGGAACTGCAGGGACTAAGGGAACAACGCCATCAGAGATGGCATCCCAAGAACAAGAAAGAGCGGATGAGACGGCCGCGTGGAGGGATTTAACAGGGCTGGATTGGAACATGGAGGAACGGACAGAAGTGCAAACCGTGGGACCCGAGGAGGAGAATGAGCAACAAAGCAGATAGGTCCGAGGATTTGGATGACCTTTTGGAATAATTATTATCAGATACGGAGAGGGACGAATGTGATTTTTTTAGGGAGAAGCTGTGATATAAGATATTTTTTATCGATTTTTTTATTAATTGTTTTTCTTTTGATTATGTTTGTTTATTTTTGTTAATTATTTATATATATCAGAGACCTGCAGGCCCGGCCCTAAGCCCGGCCCGTATTTTAAATTTTCTAAATATACCCGGGCCGGGCCGGGCCTAAAAAATTTTTTTTAAATATATCCGGGCCGGGCCTAAGACTGTTAAACCCGGGCCGGTCCTTAATATTTTTTATAAAAATTTTTACATTATGAGTTAATGGTTATAAGATTATATTATATTATAGTTATGATTAATATAATATTGGGTGATGGTTAACACACCTAACACCCACAGATCGATCTAATTATTAATTTCCTGCAAATTTATTCAAAGTATTAATATATTTTTTTATAATTCATATCTAAATTTTTACAACATATTTTACCAAAACAATCAAATAAAGGAATATCTTAAATAAGCCCCAATATTCAAGTATTAATAATATATTTTTTATAATTCATATCTAAATTTTTAGAATATTTACCAAAACAATCAAATAAAGGAATATCATGGCACAAAATACTAATGATATAATTAATAAAATTAAAAATAATATTTATTCTTTTAGAAATACAAATAATAATTTAAAATCTGAAATATGGGCTAAATTTAACATCATCATAGATGAAAATAAAAAAGACATTGGCTACGTACAATGTAAGAATTGTTCAAGTATATTATCTTATAATTATAAACATGGTACATCACATCTAAAAAGACATAAATGTGATGGTAAATCCATGAAAATTAATAAAAAAATTTTACACCTGAAAAACCAACCTATAAATGTAATATAAAATATTTAAAAATTATAAAATAAATTATATTAATATTGTGCAATTAGATTATATTTTCAAAATACTATTTATTATACATGCATTTTTTTAAATAGCGATTTATTTTTATTTTATAAATTAAATAGTAAATTAAATACAATATATTATATTCTCAAAATATTTTCCATTTTTATAAATTAAATATTACTATTAGTTTTATTTTTTTTAAATGCAATATAAAATATAGTATATGCTCAAAATATTATTACCATTTTTATGAATATTAGTTTTATTTTTATAAATGCAAAAAATATAGTATATGCTCAAAATATCCATTTTTATAAATAACAGTTTTATAATTTTTATAAATTCAATATAATATTCTCAAAATATTAGCTTTTTTCATGTATTTTTTAAATAATAAGCGATAATACTCGCTGAAATATATGGTAAAATACCTCATAGGTGAATTTTTGTATATACCAGGTCGAATGTAATTTTAAAAAATTCCGAGCCGGGCGTGAAATTTTTAAATCCGGACAGGGCCGGGCCGTAAAAAATATTTTTAAAATTTATCCGGGCCGGGCCTTAAATCTTTAAATCCGGGCAGGGCGGTAAAAAAATTTTTTAAAAAATATCCGGGCCGAGCCTAAAAAATTTAAAACCGGGCCAGGCCGGGCCGTACAAATGGTGCCTCTGCAGGTCTCTGATATATATATAGTATAGAAAATTAAAAAATAAAGAAATTATTATTTTCTTTCCAATTTGAGGATTTTTTTCTATTCAATTTTTAGAATAGGGGAGAAAAAAATAAAATAAGAAGAAAGTAAAGAAAAAAATATAAAAGAAAAATAGAAAGCGTTTTAAAGTAAAATTTAATATATGAAATACGAATTTTGTATGTAATATGCTTATTTTTATTAAAAATAAAATTAGCATAATAAAAAAATGATTCAACAACAATTCGTCCATGCATATTTTCTTCTGTATTAGCAGGAAATAGTCCTTATAATAATCTCTTAGAATAACCGCTCACAGATTCCAAATTTTTGGGGGATGAACAAATTAACAGTCTAGAATTCCACTACTTTTCTTAATAACAATCCAGAATAAAGAAGGTTAATCGATGATTGAAAGGTTAAGCTTTTAGAATGCTTTTATAGTTATTGTAATTTACATGTGCCACCCGCTTATATATAGGTGATGTTATAAGTTTTATATATATTATAGGGCAATAAAAATATGGGAATTTATTATTTAACTGTAGCATTATCATAATAACTAATAGCTTCAGTGAATCATACGACTGCGAGCAAACGCGAGTCCACAAAGGAGTCCTGAAAGCGAGGCTCTTATCCTAAATGAGATATCAAACGGATCCCAAAAATGAATAGGTCAAATCAAGCTTCTAGTTATTAAAGAGTTTAATTTAACTGATGAGGACTCCGGTTCTAACATTAAATTCATTTTCAGCAAAAACTAATATTTAATTAATTAATAAATATATAAAATTCTTATCTAACTAGTTAATTTATATAAACTAATTAGCCCACGTCATGCTTTTTCACCTAAAGAGACAGACACAAGTCTATGCCTATGCCTTAGGCCGAAAAACTTGCAAAACTATTATATTTTATGTGCGAAGAAATTTTATTTAAAAAAAAAGAATTCGAAGTTTATCTCAAATTGCCACAAAAAAACATTTATAACCAGATGTATGATTTACCTGTGTTATCAAAAGCGTGGATAATCTCATGTCCTATTACAAAGCCGATGGATCCAAAATTTAGTGATCTGTGATATTTTATAAAATTTTAAAAATTATCATAATACATACGAACCTGGGAAAATCTTTATCGTACAGAGGGGATTGCAATATTCCTGCCGGAAAGACTTTTCATGAAATTGAAAAATAATCTTTTTAAAATTGAACCATGATATTTAATATAACTAAACTTAAAACATTATTATTAATAAAACTTCTCTTTTAAGAGTTGAATAAAAATAGTATTAAAAGTGAACAATGATGGGGCAAATCAAAATTATAGTTCTTGAAATTAAATAAATATTTATGCAGCGTAATGATGCGAAATCGCTCGATTTGAACCGGTTTTAAAAACGGCAAACTCAATATTTTAGCCAGAGAAATATTTCCTAAGCCTCGAAATTTAACTAATAGATGTCCAAACATTTGTGCCATCTATGGGCAAAATCATCAGGCTAGCGTAATATTTTTCTGGATAAAATACTGAGTTAGTCGTATTTAAAAATCGTCTCAAATGGAGCGATTTTGCATCATTAATGTAGCGTATAATAATTAAATAAAGGTTGCGTCCTAGCTCGTCTTTTTCCTTTAAAAAAAATAAAACTAAATGCACCTTTAAGCGTATCAAGTGCCATCAATCCCCTTGTTTTAAAATCTATATTTAAAAAAGGATATCCTATCTTAACTGCTTTTCTGAATAGAATGCTTTATTCAGAATTAAGAAAAATTAATAAGAACTAGGACGCATTAGAAAGATGTTCATATATTTCATTACTCATTTCGTTGCCTATAAAAGAATAGAACCCATTCACAGTGGAAGGAGGAATAAACCAACTATTTAGAAATTAAGAAAAATATAATATGATATATATATGGATTTAATTTGAAACAGAGGCCCACAAAGCCCGTAGCGGTTAGAACCGTTAAGAATTTTTGCATAAGTTGCTCGACCCGATAAATTTTTTGTCCGGCCCGGCCCAAAATTTCAAAAAATATGCCAAATATTTTCTCAATTGGCCCAAAATTTACCAAAAGTTAGACTGATGCTGGATCGTATTATTAAAAGTATGCCACGATCGGAATTTTCCGGCCATCTTTTAAGTATCTATTCTATTCTATAATCTATGTCTAATTTTTTCTCAATTTCTATTAAGGTTCTTATATTATATTTCCCCAGGATGATTATACTTCTATAAGAACCATTTTATAAATCATTGTGTTTGATATCTCTGTACTGTATATTGTTAATTGTATTATAAATCTTATTTAATTTCCTATTAATTAACTATATTATTCATGAATTTAGCATTTAAGTTAAACATCTCTTAAAATACACATAAATAAGCATATTGTAATATTTTTCCAAATAGTGTGAATTATAATATTAGCTTGAAATTCAAAAAAATATAAATTTTATATAAAATGGGGAATAAAATTATATGAAATTAATTTTATTATATGTAAATATAGAATAAATTATATTTTTATTTATAATTATCATTTCATTCTATTCCATCCTTCAACCATATACAATAACAGACTATTTTTCTATATCCTTTATTAAAATGTATTTAACATTTTATTTTATCAGAAACGAAACGAAACGAAACGAAATGAAATGAAAAGAAAAGAAAAGAAATATAACAATAAAATAAGTATCAGTTTTTTAACTTTTTGGATATATTTTAATTAATAAATGGTAGGGGAGGGTTAAAAGTGGATTTTAGAAATAAAGTGTATGAATTGGATATTATGTTAATTTTACTACCTTTTTTTCAATATAAAAATGTTATGAAGGCCCCAGGCCCGGCTCAAATTTTTCTTTTATCTAATTGCCAGGAATTTTTTTAATGTACGACTTGCCAGGCCAGACTCTTTATAATTTTGCCCGGCCACTTTTAATTTATTTAAAAAATTCCCAAACCACGGGCCGGACTTTCGGGTGTGCCGAGCTTTGCCGATCTCTAATTTGAAAGCCTCTTTTAATTTAAATGTGCTTTCTTATTTGTTTAATTATGAAAATTATAAAAATTAAAAATGTAATTAGGGCAAGTATTTTTGAAGGGAAAAAAAAATTAAAATCTGGTTCAATCGAGTCCTTGAGTCTCAGGTCATCGTAATGAGCTCTAATATTAGGTATTTGATCTAAAAAGCCTTATAATGACTAAAAGAGAGGATATTTATGATATGACTAGTATCTTCTTTAATATACTCATAGTAAAAATTACAACAACCATTTAATTAGTATTAAATTTAATTTAATATAAATATATCTCTCTGTCTATTAATTCACCTATTTCCAGAAATCCAACCCGAAACTATACCGAACCATTAAAAATTTTGTCAACCAAACCTTAAACGAATCTCTAAAACCGTTTGTGAGTCAGGCCTGTTAAAATCCTAACTCTTTTGAAGATTATTAATAATCAGTTTTAATTGATAAGTAACAGCAACTATTTATGGATATATTTGTAAGTAGCTATTTGAAGCATCCAGTGCCAGCTAATAAAGTTAGCATTAAAAGACGGATATTCTTTCTCCTTACATATATAATTCGACAAAAGAGAATCTTGAAAATATTTTAATCCTATAAAACTTAAACATACTTTTTTAGGGAATAGTAATAAAATTTTAAAAACTGTGCTTCTTTTATGAGTAATCAAAAAATACTTTTGTGAAAGTGGAGACTGGGATAAAAAAAATATTTATAATTAATATTTTTTTTCCTCAAATAAACTACATTTTTTTGCAAAAATTATATTTCACAAAAAAAATTGGACATCGGTTATATTGGCTGATACCGTATTAATGTCGGTACGAAATTCTATATTTTATACGAATCAAATAATATTGGACAATATATTCGCATAATTTTTATTCGATTCGAATTTATTGAATCAAAATATTAGTTATTCGAACATTAGTTAGAAACACCAGGTAAAATTCACATGAAAAAGAAATCGATAGTAATAAGTCGATTTTTTAAAAAATGGGCATTTTTTAATTCATTGATTTTAGATATTTTATTTTTGAAGAGATCAGATGATCAACATAGGCCACATAAAAATAGATCCAGTTTAAGATATTACTATCAAGAAAATATATAAATTATTGCACAACAAAATAAAATTGGCAAGCGTATACTATATAACCTAATTGATACAAAATATAAAGAAGAATCTACAGCGGAGAAACAAAATACAATTCTAATGAATGGAAATGTTATAAGATTTAATTATATAATATTTAAACACATGTTGTATATTTATTATGTATCCATACCAAATAAAGTTTCCACTGTCAAAAACATTTATTTATTTGACCAAATTTGAGACAGTATTTGACTATGTTTGACCGATCAAATTCGGTTAATTAACCGAATCTTGAACAACCCTGGTTAAAATACTTTATTATAGTCTACGTTGTGATTTTATTTGCAACCGATTCTAGTTTGAACAACCCTGGTTAGAATTCTTTATTATAATCTACTTTATAATTTCATGCATTGGAATTTTATAAAAATTTACTGGAAGAATTCAAAAAAAAAATTTGAAATAATTTCTTAGAATAAATTTTATGAATATAATAAAAAAATGGATAATTTATTTTTTTAAATATATTTATATAAGTGTATACCTAGCTTTATTGGGTATTTGGTTTAATTGTTTAAAATAACGACGCCTTTTAACCTTTTTAATCACTACAATATTTTTAAAATACATTTGGTCGGAAAAGTTGAACTAGATTTGAATGTAAAAAAAAATGATAGTTAATAAATTGATAATGTATTATAATTTTATATATCATAATCCATAACTATCATAATGAACGAATAGAAGAATATAAATAAACTCAACTTAGTGTATATAGCCAGCCAAGGACAAAAACAGTAACACGGTTATGCTTAATTATTCGACTTAAATAAAATAACTTACCAGGATGACTAAATAAAAGAGAGTAAAGAAGAAACTAAATTTAGTGTTCAAAATCTAACTCAACTTTCCTTATTTCGAAAAATTTAATTTAAGATAATTTATTATAAAATCAAATCATTAACCCTACGTCTTTAATAATAGGGCCAATATAATAATTTATCACAATATCTTAATGTAAATATATAATAATATACTTCTTTATATGCATCCTCCATATATGTTTGGTTAAATATGTAATCCGGATATCCAACTTTAGCTTCAATGGCGTCAGTCTTAAATTTATAAACAATGGAGACTAAATTAAACAACATCTTCTTACACCAGATGGTTCGAAAAAAAACGCTGCGTTTTGAAATATTTATAACTCTAAAACGCGTTACGTTTTTTAAATATAAAATTACGCATTTTATTAAAAAGTAACTTAATATTCTAAAATTCTTCAATTCTATCAAGTGTGTTTTTAAAAAATTGATGTCGTCAAAATACCAAATTTTGACACAAAAAAATTCAAGACTCTCAGGCCATGTCTTTTTTCCTCTTATTTTTGAAATATTTCTGTTTAGACCAATCTATTCAGATTGAACTAGAAGACCTATTCTGTTTTGTTTTAAGTACTAAATCTAAATAGTCACTTTTTATATTATGATAGGATGAGTCAGGACACGACATAAGATTTTTTTTAAAAAGACTAGAAGGGCTAGAAAAGTTACCATTAAGTTGGACTATAGACTCGCCATTTTTTTAAATTCTTTACTAATCACAATAATTTGAAACCTTCATAATATAATTATAGAATTAAAACTACTTAAATTAACAATATATATGTTGAATAAATTCTACTTTTTCTAGTAAAACAACTAACAATATCTTCTTCCACTGATGAAAAGACAACTTGATTTTTACTTGAGAAATTAAGGTTATATTTCACGAATTTTTCTTATAAATTCATCTAAAGATCCATAAGGTGGTTGCCTATTTTTAAAAACTAAAATCTTATTTCATTCCTCATGATAATCCAGTAGATTTGGATGATCAGGTGTCTCAAAATCGTTTTAAACCTCGCTGAACTGCACGAATATTCCACTTTTTCCTAGTGAATTTACGAATGAAACACTTGGGGCATTCATTCCCATTTTCTTTTCATGACATACTTTTATCAGTATAAGATCTCATTTTGGTAATATTTTTAATTATTTATCATTGAATTTTGTTGATTGTTAATAAAAGGCACTTTATGCACAATCATATTTGTTTGCTAACCGAAATGTGTTGTGTTATAATTTATGATTAGGCAAAATTTTTGAAAAAATGCGTCAGCTAGTTAAACATAGTGAACCCATCTAGTCCGCTTTTTTAAAAAAGAATTTTAAGCGTCTAATGTTATTTTTTGTTAAATTTAATATTTTAATCTCGATCTTCTAAAAACCCCACTTAATCTAACTCTAAAAATATTTGAAGATTTTAAGCTATATGCTCTAATAAAATACTAAAATTTATTTAAAAAAACTCGTACACGTGTTAGAGTGAAAAAGTTTCAAACCGTGATATTTTTTTGAGCCATACTGTTTGCGCCATACTGCTATATACTCAATAATTGCAAATAAATAGTTATTATTATAAAAAATTAACTCGTTTGGTAAAGAACCATTTTGGTTGATTAAAAATTAGTTATATTTTGGTCACTTTTAAAGCGGCTAAATTTTTCGTTTCAGAATCCATCCAATCCACGCTTTCTAAATTTTTCTTGAAGGCACTCTTAATTTTGATAATCAAAGATTCAGCCTGGATTAATTATAAAATCAAATGTTCTTTAAATATTTTTAAGTCAATTATGTATCTGTGAATGTTATTCAGTCTACATTTTTGGTTAAAAAAGAGAGAATATGTTCCCAGGGTTTACAAGAAAACATTAACTACACTCTACTCCATGGCGTAGACATAGGGAAGTTTGGGGTTGAACCCCAGACCCCTCTTCCCAAATATTCATAATTTGATTATGGATATCTATACGAAAATTAGCTTTTATTTTTTTTTTAAATTGATAAAACCCCCTCTTAGTTTTCTATTTCTAAAAATTTCTTTACAGCTAAGTCTGGAATTACATTCCCTCTTGTTTATAGTGATATATGGTATAAATTTTAGTGGGAGAGAGGAGGGGGGGGGTATATAAGGAGAACATTTTATTAGCTTAAAATGATATTTATGAGAATAGGTAAATTTTCGAAAGGGTATACCTCTCCTGACTATGCCTATGGCTTGATATAAATTTCAGAATAAGTGTTTCTAAAAGCTTGTCTCACTTCACCTTTAAAGCCTGATGCTATAGTTTTCATTTTCTTTATATCTCGGTTTCTTTTTGGAGGTTCGCAAAATTGAAAGGAATTAATAAGGACCATTCATGCACTAAATATTAGGGCAAGTCAGATATTTAGTTATTCTATATTTGGAAATTATTCCTTATCTTGCTATTAACCATTTTTTCTTTATATTATCTAACAAATGAATTGAATATGCAATTAATTAATAAACATTGATAAAATTAGCCAAATGTTTTAATTTTGTTGCTAATAATTTTTTCCTTTATATTGGCTATTCCGATTTTAAAACATCAAAAATTTTAATATTTTTATAATAGTATTTTAGCATATTATTAATATTATTATCATGTAATAAACATAAAATATTTTATAAACAAAATGGTAATATATTAATGTAACTATACATTTTTAATTCAACACAACCTTCCTTATAGTTAATAGGGGAATGTCATTGTATCCGGTTTGAATAACCGTTTACTAGCTGTAACCCTGCTTCCCCATAAATACTTCATATATCAAGTAAATGGCGTACAATTGATAACAACCATTTACAAGACAGAACACATTAAACTATGATGTTTGTCTAAATAAATTTGATAACATGCCAATTCAGATTCACACAATGCTGTTTAAAAAGCTATGAAATAAAACCAAAAAAAATGCTGTCAGGAATTGCATTAAAAATAATTAATCATATTGATATACAAACTAAGATATATTTAATGGAAGCAAATCGCACATTAGTAGATTACCATTAATAAAGGCATAATGATTTTTTTTATTTGAATAGATATACTATATTCTATTATATCAAAGAGTAATGATTAATAAGCCTTTTACAATTTACCTTTTCTTTGCTATGGTTTTTGAATTCTCTCTTAATAAACAAAGTACTCAAGGGAGTTCCAAAAATTTTGTTGGTTTCATCGACGCATAGCTCCCACCTTGGAGATTCATTTTCCATCCCCAGTAACGCGATGAAAATGGGTTTAACAAAATTTATGTATTTTTGAGAAATATATCCGATCATTTGAGTTGTCAAATACCAAATAATGTAATTTTGAGTGATTCTAAAATGATTTTTTTAAGAAATTTTTTTATTGAAATCGATTATCTATATTGGATTATGTAACTGTCACTTTTATTCAACTTATATTCAGAGATGCACCGATATCGATACTCATGGTATCAGTCAGTATCGGTAGATTTAAATTTTAATCGATACCAGTGGCCGATACTCAAAAATCATAACTACATTTCATATTTTTGAAAATAATTTTGCTTAGGGTAAGACAAAAATTTTTTTTAATTTCAGGCCGGGCTTTTTCGGGCCGCAGATCACTAGCTCCATTGCATTGATTTGGGTATCGATATCGGCTAAAAGGAGTTATCGGTGCTTCTCTACTTAGACTTACATGTTGGCCTAATATAAAAAATTATATCGTTTATCTTATTTTTAAAGTATTTTCTCCAATGTAATCAGTGGGGTCACCAGGGACGTGCTATTGGGACCTCTTACTGTCAAAATTGTGAAGAGCCTCTTCAAAAAATTTCCAAAATACAAATCTTAAAGGGAAAAAAAATTAAGCATCCTTGTACCCCTAAAAACTGAAAAGTTTAGTGAGGCCCTTACAACCAACCCTATTTTTAGTCTCACTACAGAGAGATCAACTTTTTCTATGAGTTATTTAAACATTACAAGAAAAAAAATACACGTATGTAAGTAACATTACTTGCAATTATGTTCATCCACAATATATTCATTGAAAAATAGAGTCAGCCTTTTAAAATAAGAAGGTGAGGATACAATAATTGTTTGATTGGGGGCTATCGTTATGTTGTTTTTAGACATAAGGCTATTTACGTAACTTGTCCAATTAATCTTATACGGATAAAAAAACATCTAATATATTAATACCAAAGATATAAGAAGCCTATATTTCCTATTTGCCGAATCCAATCTTATTTATATTTCAAGAATGCTTAGCTACTAACCAAGGTTGCATAATTTATAATCTACATTTAGATATTTTTTTTAAGTTATCATAAAAATCGTCATAAATTTTAAATTGGTTATTTAAAAAAGTCTTTTAATCTATAAAATTATAAATTTTAATATATAAAAGAAGAAATAAAATTAATATTTCACGAAATTGAACTCTCTATCCAATTGTTGCATTGTCATGGGGTTGTAATTTGAAGTAAGCTCATTGGTATCTATTTGATTTTTTTTTATCTTAAAATTTGACACCATAAATAAATCATTTAAAATATTTAGTTGATTATCACAAAAAAGTTAAGGACGTGTCCTGGTTTATATTATTTTTAAACTTATTTCTGCTTAGCCCCAGGCTAAACAGATTTTGAACAAAGATACTCTTTTTGGTTTGTTTTAAATTTGTACATTAAATAAATATTTTTTGTTATTTATATTTTTTTGGTATAAATATATTATTTTTATAAGTCTCTTTCTTTTAGGTAATTTAGAGGAAGCCATATATAGATGGCTAAAGAATCGACTGTTTAGAAATAAAACAAACCAGGACATAACCTTAAAATTTTTTTTAAAACTTAACAATGGTTGCTTGTAAATACAGTAAATAACAGGGATAAAGTAAAGGTCTACAAAGGGGCGGGTTAGATAAATAATTTTAAACAGAGGGCAGGGTTAGGTTTCAAATATCTTTAAAATGGGCATGCGGGCGGGTGGATGATTATTAAATTTTTCACTGTAGGAGGATGGCTATTTAGAAAATTAATTTCTTAAATAATATTGAAATTTTATAAGTAAATTCATGAACGGGTCAAAGTGGGCTAGATATACCCATCTATTGTAAATCTCGGAAATCTAGTATTGTAGCAGGAGAAGAAGGACTCAACCCTCCCTCTTACCGTAATTATTTTTTTATTACCATATAAAATTTCTCATTTAATATAGTCTTTCTAAAAAGATATTACTATACACCAAAATAGAGGAGGCTTTTTAAGAATAATTCTTGATAAATAATTCCTAATATTTTTTCGTAAAATTATAAAATTTTTATCAATATATATTAAAAGGAAAGAGCTTTGAATATATATAGCATCTGTATCCTTTCGATAGATAGAAAGGATGAAGATACTATAAATAAATATAAACTCTTTAAGGTTATACTATTTATTATTTTTGATTTAGGAATGGCTACACTATTGTTATTATTTCTAATAATGTACATTTAATTCTATAAAACGGTTCCACGTCAATTCGGCGCGGCGACAATTCAGCGCGTATCTATTACAGTTGCTATTTATTATATATTACTTAGTATAAAAAAATAAGGATGATTAAATAGAAATCATTTTGAATGTTGGTCCTATTAATTATTACTCCATATTTATATTTACAAAAATCTCAATTTTATTTACTAAATGTATATCGAAAAAAATTAACTAATATTTATACCTATTTCTTTAATGAACCATTTTACCACATTATAAGGTATGTTGATTAGTAGCCAATATTATGTAAGCCTGGAGATTTTGCGCATAGAAGGAAAAAAGAAAAAGAAAGATTTGATCTCTATCTCTAATCATATATTATTTTGGCTACAATCTTAATCAACCGTTTTTAAAAATAGACCCAAATAAGAATAATATTTTTTTTAAAAGGATTAATAGAATTTAAGGATTTTTAATAAATCTAAAAAATGATTCAGTCTTAATTTGATTTTTTTTTGGATCATGGCTGAGTCTATTTTTAAAAACGGTCGGTTTAAATTCCAGCCAAAATAATATGTAAGATTCGAGATAGAGGTCCAAACCTTTCTTTTTCTTTCTTTCTTCAAAATCTCGGCTTACATAATATTGGCTATTAATCAACGGGTAAATTGGTCAACCAACGAAATAGATATAAAAAATTGGTTGTTAATTTTTTTTTGATATTACACATTTAGTAAATAAAATTAAGATTTTTGTAAAAATAAATATGGAGAAATAATTAATAGGACCAACATTCAAAATGATTTCTATTTAATCATCTTTATTTTTTTATACTAAGTAATATATAATAAATTGCAACTGTAATAGATACGCGCTGAATTGTTGCCGCGCCAAATTGACGCCGCGCCGAATTGTCGTGCGCCAAATTTTCCGCCCCGAATTGACGTGATACCCTATAAAACAGCTTTAGCTGGAGTTTTAACAATATCGATTTTAGCTAATATGGGTTAGTTTATATCGAAAAAAGTAATAGAAAGTTATAAGACAGATGTGGATTAGTTTATATCGAAAAAAAATAATAATTAGGAAAGTTAAAAGATGTATATTGGTTAGTTCATATCGAAAGAAAAATATTATTATTCAATTTGACTATTTTCAGAAAGGATAATTCACGGAGTTCTGGATAGCTAAAAATAGATATTAGGTTAGTTTACATAGAAAAAAAAATTTAAATATAACTATTTTCCGAAAAGATTATAGATATATTATTATGAACATATAGAAAAACTACGATCTCTCATAGATTTTTATAAATATATTGTTTCCAATCTCTGATTGTCCTGAGATCTAAGCGTACAAGAATTTAATATAAAAATAATTAAAAATCATTTTTTTCTAAGAGTTTAAATTTTATTAAAACATTTTTCTCGGATGTCTTTTTTGTCCAGTACTTTTTGTTCATGGGTATTTTTGTCCAGTGTTTTTTTATCTAAGTAATTTATGTCCTAAACAGTTATGTACAGATTTTAGGTTCAATTCTTTAGAGTTTCTTTGACACGTGATATAATTATTAACTCTTAAAGTTATTTAGATTTTCTCTAACTAAAAAATCATTCATAATAGTCTTTACTAGCGAATAATTTAATATTTTCTTATAAATAATATTATAGTGCTCTAATATTAATATGAGTGTTTATCAAATAATGCCACTCTTTACTTTAATTGTGCGAAACAATATCTGCGAAACACATAAAACCGCGAATTTATTACGACATATTATGGTTAATCCATTACCGCGAAAACATTACTGGAAAAAAATCTTTTATGATATGAAAACATAGTTTGATCGTTCAATTTAAAATATATATTCGTAAAGGAGGTGTATAAGGGAGACAAGGGCTGGTCAGCGTAAGAGGCCATCAGTTCAGTGGATTTTATTTAAAAACCAGTAATGTTTAGAAATTAATTTATGTAATAGCATTCAATTATTTGGGGAAAAATATCCATCAGTTATTTAAATTTTTTTATGGTAAATATGTGTTTTTGAGTTCAAAATGAAAATATTTTTACATCACGATATTAGGCTGCATATTCATTAATTGACATTATATAATTTTAAACTATCTTTTAATATTTCAGTAAGTTTTATAATTATAATCAAATATAATGTTTAAATATATTTTTAGAAGTTTAGTGATATTAGTAGCCCAAGGGCTAGTAGAATCAAGGGCTATGCGGATCAATTAAATTATATTTATAAATAGAGCGAAGTGTTAGGAAAAGGAAATAGATTTTTATTTTTTGGATTTTTATTATTATTAGTTTTTTGCACATTATAAAAAGGAAATTATACAACATTCCTTTAAAAATAATGCATGAATGTGTAATAAATATTTATTCGAACTCGGAGTATTACCTTCTCAATAATAGGTCATGAAAGCGTTTTCATAATATAGATATATTTAATACTTTAAAATGGAATTAATATATCTTCTAATTCTAGTTTGAAAATATCAAAATGATTAGTAAATTTAAATATTATACATTTGTTTAAAAAAAAATATTTAAAGTAATATACCAATGCAAGGAAAACTTCTAGTTCTAGGACTTCCTTCATTATTTTATCAATGTTGCTCTTTGAGTGAGGAAATATTGATTTGAGTAACAAAACAGCACATTGGTAATATATGAGCAGAATAGGATTACGGCGGAAAAATACTTCATCCTTTAAGCTGAGATTTTTGAGGTAAAATTCTCGATTTCCCAGAATCAGAGTACCCTCGCTTAAGCTAAGAACATTGAGGGAAGAATTTTTATCATCTTTGGCTACGTTAAAGACGAAGAATACGGATGAGCCCAGGTCGATTGATAAATTCATCAAATTTCTCAACATTTTATCTTTACATTCAGAAGCTACAAGGGAATCATTTTTGGAGCTTTTTAATTTTGTCCCATTTTTAGATTTTATATCCAAATTTTGCCAACCTCCGTAAATTTCGACCAATTTTTTCAACGGTTGAGCATTCAACGAATTTATTTTGTTTTCGTTGAGACAAGATTGATAGTATATTTGAGCTTGTTTAATTGCCGAGCTATTAGTAATATTAGGTGCTTCTAATTATAAATATTTTATTTTTAAAAAAAAAGTTCAATAATTAAACATTTATCTTAATATTAATCAGTGGAGTCGCTAGTAGGAATGTGCAAAGGTAATGCCTGTGGCTAAATTTAATTTGAGATCCAAAATATTCAAACCTTTTTTATGCGAAGTTTTAAATAAACAAAAAAAAATCGGCCCTTTAACCCTCTATATGATACAGTGACGCCACTGTTATGAATTGTTTTATATACATTATTTTGATTTTATTATATTATATATCTGTTCTTCAAGTGGATAAAATAAAATGTAAAATTTGTCAAATATTATAATATAACACAATTTAATTTTTATGAATTTATTATTAATAATATTTAAATTTACCTAAAATATTTTTAAAGAACAATTTGTTTTTGCGATTTATCTCCTTGAACTGATCCCAACTATTTTTCCCATAGATAATTTTGGCTTCATTCTTGATTCTCCAGCCACCACAAGCATAGTCGTAAAAATCGTGACATGGATCAACGGTTATATCAATATTTTGTAAGATTCGAGAAGCTAAAGAAACGCAAAACGGTGATAGACATATACCTATGGCGCAAAATTTGTAAATTTGTATGAATTTAAAGGAATATCTTGTCCATTAGAACCCCTTTCTAAATTTATATAAAATTATCTCATATATTTCTTTTTTTTTAAAAAAAAAGTGCGTGAAACAATAATAAAAAAATTATATAAATAAGGAGACCAGGGCTAGTCGGCGCAAGGGGCTTGTCGGTTCAAAGAATTTTATTTTAAAACTAGTAACGATTAATAACTGAAATTTTGTTCTAAAATAGAATTCTATAATATCCATATTTGAGGATAAAAATAATTTATAATATTTAGCTATTTAAATTTTTATCTGTTATAACATGTTTTTGACATGAATTTCAGAATATTTTCCCTTAATATTATTAAGCTGTATTAAAAAATTAAAAGTTTAAACATGACAAAAATGCACAATATATGAAAGTAAAATATCTATTTTAATATCTGGGAAAGTTTCAGATTGATACATAATGCTTAAATATATGTTAAGATTATATTAGTAATATTACCACCATTGAGGTTAGTAGAATCGTGGCTAGTCGGCGCAATCAATCAATTAATGTTTATAATATTAATATGGTAAGCCAATATATACGAAAAATTCAAAACAGGAAAATATTTAGTAATAGTGATTTTGAAGAAGCTATTAGACTATATGAAAATAAGATCTCATCAAGAAAAATATCAACTATTACAGGTTAAAATATAATATTTTATAAATGTAATATAAAAATAATAATTATTATATAAATTTATTAATGTAATTTTTCATAATACATTTCAATTTTAATATAATAGCAGACCTAAATAAATATCTTGCAAATAAAATCTTTGTATATATATATATATTGTGATAATTAAATATATATTGTCATAGATATATTGCATATATAAATTTTAGCCTGATAATAAGATAAATTATTTAATATAAATTATGACAGTATAATATGATTCAAATTAATACATCTTATTGGATATGAACATTTTAGTAAATAAACTTTAGCTTGATAATAAGATCAATTTTTTAATATAAATTATGTGAAGCAAACAAATATTTATATATATTAATTATAATTAACATTATAATATGATTCAAATTAATACATCTTATTGGATATGAACATTTTAGTAAATAAACTTTAGCAGATCAATTTTTTAATATAAATTATGTGAAAGAAAATAATAAAAAATCAAAAAAAAATATTGTTAAAAAATTAATAAAAGATGTGTGTATTATATGTAAACAAGATTATAAAAATTTTCATAATTTTGAGGATTGGTTTCAATGTCGAGTATGTAAAGGTTGGGCGCATGGGTCATGTGCCAAAAAAGATTGTTATTTTATATGTTATAATTGTAAATAGAATATTATACAAATAAAGCATCGTAGTTATATATTAAAATATGAAAAAAAAAAATTTTTTGTCTCATAAGAAGCCTAATAAACCACTTGATTCGACTAGCCCCATCGATGATCCGACTAGCCACGGGTTTGGGGCTACTCGGTTCAAAAAATGACTTTTACTAAATCTTTTTTAGAGAAAAAACTATTAAATATTTAAAAAATGTAACAGTATATATTTATAGGTAGATGTTTAAGGTATCGATTAGTATTTTGTAGGATCTTATACGATCATTATTTTCGGAGCTATGATGATTTTGACAAAAATTGCGCCGACTAGCCCTGGTCTCCCCACTATAGAAATACATTTAATCTTTTACGTAAAAATTTCTAACAATATATTTAAAAAAAATGAAAAAAGGGACCCTTCCCGAAGACGCTATCATTCGTATGGGATCGATATTTTATTTTTTCGCACAATTAGTATTAGTAATACTTTATTAAACAATCACTCAACCTTAGAGCTTAACGGGTAAAGGAAAATCATCTATTTCGTTTTAAATTTTACGGTGACTATCTTATTTTGATATATTTTTCAAAGTTACCATAAGTTTATTTGAATCCTTTTTTTTATGCTATCGCTATTAAATTAAAAGTACGAAACTACAGCCCGAGGCATCGAGTCCTATTTTAAAATATGATGAAAATTTTATTTTTTATAATGATGTTAGTAATTTCTTTTAAAATATTATTTAATTTGCTTATTATAATTGCTTTAGTTCTTCTATATTTTTCGTTCTATCTTGAATCTTAATATACAAATTTAAATTTTCTGATTTAATATTGGACTAAGCCTTTAGTATTAGTGCTTTCAACAGTTTGGCAAACTTTATACTCAGGACTTTGTCTCAATATAATTTTTGAAAATACAATTTGTTTCAAAAAAGATGAGATATTATATCTTTACTTCTTTATCTCAAATTAGTATTGTTAAACGGCTCAATTTGAGCCGATTTTTAAAAACAGCTAACTCAATATTTTAGTAAGAAATATATTGCCTGACCTAGAGACTTGGCTAATATGTGTCCAAACCTTTAAGCCTTATATGAACAAAATCTTCAGGCTTGATTATTTTTTTTCTGGATAAAATATTGAGAAGTCATTTTGAAAAATCGGCTCAAATCGAATCAACACTATCTTAAATAAACCGAAAAGAACAAATAATATCTAAAAAGATCGTAGAACGAATCAGGGAAAAGAAACCTTAATGAATTTAGACGTGATTAATTTTGGGATTAATTTAAAATCCAATATTTAAGATTCAGACTAAGGCTGTCGTTATAGTTTTTATTTCGCTTATGGAAAAACTGATTGACAAATTAATAAATACAAATAGGGTACATATTGACGCACCCAGATAATCAGTGCTTCTATAATTTTCATTCTATCATAATGCCAGTCTTTGGAATTTTTTCTTTTATTGCCAATAATAAGTTTTCTTTTAAACTCTCTATCAAACAGGTTGAAGTATTAAAAATAACTAAATATTCACTAGTTATTGATATATGTTTCAGAGTTGATATTTCCGAAAGTTTGGCTGACATCACCCTCAACATGTGATCTATAGTTTATATTTGGAATTCGGAACCTTTTTGTGGCTGGTGAAATTTACTGAAGATATTAATAACTGAATATTAAAACAACCCAGATATTTAGAACTTTTATATTCTCCATTCTGGTATGATATCAATTTTGTCAATTTCATCTTTAAATCACCTAACAAACGATTAAAGCAATAATAAAATATAATGATTAAATACTAGTTGATGACCTGGAACTCGATTTCTTTTTTGCGGTATTATTTAATTAATAAGTATAGGTACTACTAAAGCCCAAAATATTATGGCTATCCAGATATCTAGCTCTTCTATATTTACCATTTTGGCATGATGTCTTTTAAAATGTTTTCTTATTGTGCTAATAACATTCTTTTTTTCTTTATAATGTCTTCCAATAATATACAACTAAGCCCATTGATAAATTATTAGAATAAATACTTTCCACCGCTTTTAAATCAGGTGGATCAAACATTTGCCGCTAAATTTTTTCCTTTATATACTGACTAGTGGCTATTACGTTGGTTAAAGCACTAATTAAGCACGAAACATTGGCATAGGTTTAAATTAGTGCTATTAATTATTCAGTTCTTTAAAGGAGATAATATAAAGTTATTAAATATTTTAATAGGCAAAATAAAAATAAACCACGAAAAAATCAAAAATAATTAGAATTTTAAAAAGAGATGATCCGACCGACGAGAGATAATGAAAGTTTGAAATAAACCCCCAAATTTTTTTGTGAATTCCCCCTAATCCTTGCTAGGCTAATGATTATTATAAGTTTATAATAAAAGTCCTGCAGGCCTAAGCCGGAAATATAGTCCAGACCCATGACCCAAAAAATATTTGTTATATTTCTTTCCTATTTTTCCTTTTTGCCTGATTGAATATCACAATTATAAAATGAAAGAAATGGAAAAATTTAAAAATAAATGAGCAGGTGGTATTTACAATTTCATATCATATTTTGTAATAAATAGAATACAATAAATTATCAAAGCTATTAAATAAAAATTTTAAAATCAATGAGGCCCAATCCAATCCGGAAAAATATTTGTAATAAACTTTTTTAAAATTCGAGCCAATTCGTTCTATTTTAAATTTTTTAGACATCTAACAAAAGCCTATTTTTTTTCTGGTGTCTTTTAGTCTGGGACATTTATGGCCAAATGTTATCAAATGTGCAAATTTTAATATAAAAATGATAGTTAATTGATAAAATTTTTAATTAGAAGACTATAAATGATTTACTATTGTATCCGCTAATCGGATTATTATAATTATGTTTACTTGTCATATTATTCGGACACACATAAGGTCCACAATCTCTTTTATTTCTTGCCTTTCCTTTATATATCATTTTGCCCAAGCTTGAGATAGTTTTATCTGTTATTATAGTTTTATTATTAGGGACCACCACAGCGGCAGTGTTCTCATTAGCGAAATATAAATTTTTGGTTTGATTATCGAGGGATAACGTTTTTTTGATTAAATATATAAGGGTGTGATTAGAAGTTAGATTCGATTTGGCAATCGTGACGTTTTTAATTTTAATGTTTAATTTATCTTGGTCGTCCGAGAAAGATTTTGAATCATAAAAAACATCTATGTGAGGATTGTCGGCTGGATCTTGATTCTGGAATGTTTTACTAGGATTTATCAAACTTGAGATATTTTTCCACAGATATTCATATTTTTCCAGACTACTGCCTAAGTTACGAATGGAATTTACAAGTATAAATATAATTGAAAAAGTTGTAATTAATTTCATAAATTTTTTCCGAATTTGAGGGTATGATAAAAATAAAATTTAAAACAAATTAATTAAATTGGCTAATTTAAAATGAATGTTAATAATGTCAAATGTTTTATACTTCAAAATGATATAACTATCATGAATTTTATATTTTTAACAGCACTGGAGGTTATATATATCATAAAAATATTGATATAAATATTTGACAGCAATATCGATATTTATATTGAATAAATAAAAATCAAACCCGAATGAATATAAATAAACTGATTTTATTATTTAAACACACTTCTGGCTCAAAGCACTACTTGTGCCAAAGAAATCAAAAAAAAAATCCTATTTTAACCTAGATTATATAAATATTATTAAGTAATCATACAAACAAACAAGAATATCTCTGAGTTATAAATTTTCAATTAAAATGCCATTTGACGTATTTTAAAAATCATCAAAAGTTAAAATACCAATTTCCCTTTCTCTTTAATATTTTTTTTCCTTCATTCCTTAATAAATATTACAAATAAATCTAAAAATATAACTCTCAACACATTATTTGCAGAAGAAAAGTCCTTTTATTTGAAAAATTTTTCAAAAATAAATCCTTTTAAAACGACTGATCGATGTACTTTAGACATTTCACTAATAACTAATAGATCTAAATTATATATTGTACCACCGCCCTGCTAACATTAACAGGAAATAATTTAAATAATATATTAATAAGTTCCTCTATATTATTACATTGATTGAAAATACTTATTCGTTTATAGGTTTTATCGCGCTGGGCTTTTTAATTTATCGGTTTCGATTGTTAATAGTGAATGATTTTTATTGGAATATTTAAATAACTAAAAGGGACTGGTTGGTAGTAAACTTAAAAATAGTTGGTTTGAAGAGTCTGACGTTTATTATTATTTTTTAAATATTAAGTATTTTTAAGATTTATTATGGTTAAAATAAACATATCCAAAATAGGATCATATCATAACTATAAAGTTAACAGGATTTATGAATTTTTCTAACAATCTATAAGAATCGATTTTGTAAGATTGTATATTTTGTTATTCATTTCCTTCAAGTATCTGGGTGGAAAAATGATACTTTAAACTTCACTTGAATTGATCCAAAGCACCATCCAATTACAATGTCGAAGCTCTCGCCATAGCTGAAATCCGGAAATTACTAAATACAGCTCCTTCGATCCTTCTTACTCATTTATACCCATCACTTGCTCAATTCTTACAACTTTCGGCAGCAAAGCTCAATGCTTTTTTAGAATTAGGAAGACGGATTCGCGAAAATACCGATCAGCCCAAGGAATCCCTTCGCTAACTACAAAGACTTACTATTACGATTATTCGTTCTAGCTATTTAAGTTATATTTCTTCCATAATCTTACATGCCTTCTTATATTTTCTTTCTTTCCTTCTCCTTCCTAATTTCTCTTTACTATTTTATTTTTTAGACATTTTTTTAAAAAAATTCTTTATCCTTTTTCCTAAATTCTATTTTTAATATTAATTTTGTCAGAAAAAAATAGTTATACGCCTTCACCTTTCATAATCTAATATTTATAATCTACTTAATCAAGAAATAAACGTTTTTGTATAATCTTAATGTTATTTTTATTATTTCTATCAACTTTCCTATCATTTTAATGTTAATTTTATTTTTCTTTCAACTTTCCTATCATCTTAATGTTAATAAATCGAAGGAGACTATATACCTCTAATGTTAAATTGCAATCATTCTTTCCAACTCTCTTTCTTAAATTTTCTAATACAATTCTTCTTATATATGAAACTTATTTTGATAAAGTAATTTAATTATATCAATATTTATTTTATTTATTGGAAGCTCCAGGCTTGGGAAAAAAATTTCAAAATTATTATCGGTTGGCCAGGTTTGAGAAAAATTTTTTTAAATTATAATGGGTTGGGCTGGGCTAGGAAAATATTTTTATACTTTATATTGGGCTGGTCTTGGGGAAAATTTTTCAAATTATTATAGCTTGAACGCTTGGGAATTTTTTTATTATTAACTATGGATTAGACATTGATCTAAAACAAATTTTTTTTTGCAGGCCTGAGCTCCGCCTGATCAAAAAACCAGGGCCTATTTTTTATTCCAGTTCTCAACTACCAACATTATTATGATCTTTGGTTGGAGTTGGACAATTTTTTCAAAATTAATATGGCCTTGAACCTTGCTTGGGAATTTTTTCAGGCATAGGTGATTCACTAATATTTTAACAAATAATATTTATATAGGTATCAAGTAAAAGCTTTATATTTTGACTCAAAACATAGCATTTGCACTAAGTTTTAATGAATTGGACCTGGCCTGAAGGGGGGGGGGGGTTATAAAGAATAAAAATTGGATATTATTTTCAAGTAACAACAATATTATAAGAATAAGGAGAAAATACTCATTCCCCGTCATTTTTGACGGGCTCAGCAATGCCGAATAACTGGAGCTCTGGTACTCTTAGTTATATTGCCCATCAAGAAAGACGTGTCATCATACTTTAAATTAAGAATATCTTATGAGATGTGATTCACAAATTTACCTCTTTTCTCCTAAATTTTAATATTTTTATAAAAAATATTTATTAAGTATATTTAGTACCATACACACAAACTAATTACCCCTCAACTCCGTCATTCTTGACGGGTTATTAGCTAGTATATTATTTTAGCCATATTTACTCAAATAAAGTAACAATTGGATATTTTTATGTGACTTGGATTTTCAAACTGATATATCTGAAAATGATAAAATGGAGTATTGCAATGTAAATACTAAAATTTTGCATGCATATATCAAAGGTTACAATACAAAAAAATAAGGTATTTGTTCATTTGCTAAAATTTTATGTTGGAGGGGAAATCTATTTTAAACTTAATACGCAACATAAAATATCATATTTTTTCTTCTAAACTTTACATTAAAATATAACCAAATGATAATTACATAGAATTGAGCACTTGTGTTATGGCTTTCAAACTTTGCTTTCTTGACTTTCAACTTTGGGCAAGAAATACATCATCCTCCTCATTTAATCGAATTTTATTTAAATAATTAAAATTTTCGAACCAGGCTCTGGCCGAAAAAAAAAATTGATTGCAAAACTGATCTATACCTGTTTAATTAATTTATTTTATTACTTAAGGTATAAAAATAAATTCCAGAAACAATCCCTGAGTAAATAATCTATAAATTATTAATCAGTTAATATCATGGCCAATAAATTTTCAATTTATTTTATAAATAAATTATTAAGATATGAATAAAATCAAAACTAAAACTAGACTTACTTTATTTCACACTTTAAAAACAATTAAAACGCTCGGAATCATTTTCTTCAACTGTTCCGAATGTAGAATACTGTAGGCAAATTTCTCATAATTCTTTTTTACCTTGGAATTTGTAACTAGTTATGGCTAAGGAGATATGTTATTCGTAAAATATACGAGCAAACAATTTAAATCAGACACGTAGATAAAAAATTTATACGGGAGGGGGGGGGGGGGGGTATCGTTTTATTGAAATGATTTTTTCCGGAACATTAAATATTTATTAGAAATTATCATCATATAAAGTTTACTATAAAGATCATAAAAAATAGAATTTTGAACAAACACTGGAAAATATTAGCGTCCCAATGATTGCACGACCCGGATTTGTAAATAAAAATCGGCCCAGTCTGGATTATTTTTAAAAAAAATTTTGGCCTAGCCCGGGTTTTAAATTTTTAAGCCCGGTGTAGGATTGTGACATCTATACCTAGTGTTGTTAAACGGCTCATTTTAAGCTGATTTTTAAAAACGGCTATCTGAATATTTTAGCCAATGAAATATTGCCTAAGGCTCCAGATTTCGCTAATAGATGTCTAGACCTTTGTGCCACTTATGAGCAAAATCTCAGGCTTGAGTAATATTTTTCTGGATAAAATATTGAGTTGGCCATTTTTAAAAATCCGTTCAAATCGAGCAGTTTAACAACACTATCTATACCCATTGTAGCTTCAATACCGTATTTATATTATCATTGTAGATTCAATACCTTAGTGATATTTTGGTGTTGTAGAATCAATACCGTATTGATTTTTAAGAGATGTTTTCATCGCTTCAAATATATTGGCGGCCATTAAAATTGTAAAATATTTATTCATTATATATTTTTTCATCGTTTCAAATATATTGACGGCCATTAAAATTGTAATATTTATTCATTATAATCATCGCTTCAATAATATTGACGGCCATTTTCGATTTGTAAAAAAATTATTTAAAATAGATTTAATAGTTTTAAATATATTTAAATGATTATAAAAATGATTTTCATTCTTTTATATAATTTTTTCAAGTTACAATTCTTGATATCCTATATAATTTTTAGTTATTTACTCATTTGAATAACAAATTAAATGTACCCTATTGATTGAATGAGAATCTATGAGTTTTTAATATGTGCTAATCAATTGTAGATTCATCTATAAATGCCGATTCAAAGATTTGTAAATTATAATTTAGATTTTATTCGTAAAAGTTGTGGTTCGGTCATAAATTATCAATACGGTATTGATTTTACAATATTGTAGAATCAATACCGTATTAATTTTAGATGGTATTGATTTTACAATACTACCGGCCCAGCCCAGGTATTTTTAAAATTAGTTTTGACTTTCTTCTTCAATTAATTGAAAATGAAAAGTTTTTAAATAACGATTAAGGCAAGTTTCACCTTTTGAAATTGAATTATTATTGAAATTATTCAAAACATTTTAATGATAAGTTCATTATACAGGGTTTCCCATCCAAAAAAGGAAAAGTCCCAATCAAAAAAGGAAAAGGTTCAATCAAAAAAGGAAAAGTGTCAAACAAAAAAGGAAAAAGATCAATCAAAAAAGGAAAAGGTCCGATCAAAAAAGGAAAAGTCCCAAAGGTTAAGGAAAAAGTCCAATCAAAAAAGGAAAAGTGTCAAACAAAAAAGGAAAAGGTCCAATCAAAAAAGGAAAAGTGTCAATCGAAAAAGGAAAATTCCGAAAAGAAAAGGAAAAGGGTCAATCAAAAAAGGAAAATTCCCGTTCAAAAAAGGAAAATCGTAATATTTTTAAAAAAATATATAAACTTTTCAATTTTTCTTAAATTTATTTATTTTTGTCATTCCTTCATATTTGATTTCTAACTTTTTGCGATTTCTTTATTTTATTTGTATCTTTTCTCACTATATCTTTTCTCAATTTTTTTTCTTCTCATTTTTGTGGTTTGACTGAAAGTCTTCATTCTTGGTCTGGATGGGTATGACTTGGTCTGAGGGTGGGGGGGGGGGGGGTAAAAAATAAATTTTTTTGATATGAGTATCAAATAAAAGCTAATAAAAATATTTTTTTATTGTAATAATACAGGGTTTCCCATCCAAAAAAGGAAAAGTCCCAATCAAAAAAGGAAAAGTCCCAATCAAAGAAGGAAAAGGTTCAATCAAAAAAGGAAAAGGTCAGATCAAAAAAGGAAAATTGTCAATCAAAAAAGGAAAAGTCCCAAAGGTTAAGGAAAAAGTCCAATCAAAAAAGGAAAAGTGTCAAACAAAAAAGGAAAAGGTTCAATCAAAAAAGGAAAAGTGTCAAACAAAAAAGGAAAAGGTCCAATCAAAAAAGGAAAAGTGTCAATCGAAAAAGGAAAATTTCCAAAAGAAAAGGAAAAGGGTCAATCAAAAAAGGAAAATTCCCATTCAAAATAGGAAAATCATATTTTTTTTAAAAAAATATATAAACTTTTCAATTTTTCTTAAATTTATTTATTTTTGTCATTCCTTCTTATTTTATTTCTAACTTTTTGCGATTTCTTTATTTTATTTGTATCTTCTCAATTTTTTTTCTTCTAATTTTTGTGGTTTGACTGAAAGTCTTCATTCTTGGTCTGGATGGGTATGATTTGGTCTGAGGGTGGGGGGGGGAGGGGGTGTAAAAATAAATTTTTTATTATGAGTATCAAATAAAAGCTAATTTTAATATGGTCTAACTGAAAGTCTTCATTCTTGGTCTGGATGGGTATGACTTGGTCTGAGGATGGTTGGGGGGGGGGGGGGGTAAAAAATTAAATTTTTTGATATGGGTATCAAATAAAAGCTAATAAAAATATTTTTTTATTGTAATAATAATAATCACGCATAGAGGGCGGGTCTAGGTCTTGGGGGGTCAGGAATATTTTTATCACCACAAAATGTCGATATGGGTATCAAATAAAATCTAATTTAAATATTTTTAGATTTAAATTATTCATTTTTTGTCTTGATGGGTATGACTGTCATGCCCTCAACATACAGGGTTTCCCATTCAAAAAAGGAAAAGGTCCAATCAAAAGGGAAAGTTTCAATCTTAAAAGGAAAATTCCCATTCAAAAGCAAAATCGTAATTTTTTTATAATTTTTCAATTTTTCTTAAATTTTATTTATTTTTAGTCATTCCTTCTTATTTTATTCCTAACTTTTTGCTATTTCTTTACTTTATTTGTATCTTTTCTCAATTTATTTTTCTTACTATATCTTTTCTCTATTTCTTTTCTTCTCATTTTTGATAATTCTTTTTTAAAATTATATTATTTTTTTTGGCAGACTATTATTTACATACATATATTTATAATTACAATATTAAATTAATCGTTTGGTTATAATAAATAAGTTTGAACTGTAATACCAAACGATATGTAAATTAATAAAATATAATCATTTTAAAATTCTTATATTTTTAAAATTTTAATATATTCAAAACGCATTTATTCTTTTTAGCAAGTAAATTATTATTTTGTAATTTAATTATCTTTTAAACTATTTTGATTTATGAAAAATTAAACGCAAATGAGGTAAATTTTATAATCTTTTTCACTTCCATTTGTTGAGTATATACTTTAAAAATAAATTTTTTTGTTTTAAAAAATAAAATTATGAAGATATGGTAAAAAGGGTAAAAAATATTAACAGTGAAACAAAAGCTCTAATAATTGACGCGTTAAAAAAAGATAGTATCAAAAATATAGCATCATGTTTTAAAGTAAGCTATAAGACAGTGACAAATATTAAATACTCTCATCTCAAAAATGGAATAAAATATAGCTTACCCAAAGGAGGTTCACGCGCACGCAAGAAATTAAATAAAGAGCAGGAAGAATATATATTAAATTGTATAAATTTTGATTGCACTTTATTCTTAAAAAGGTTATGTGAAATCATTAAAGAAAGATATGATGTGGAAATATCAAAAAATACGGTATCAAGGTTACTCTCAGGATTTAGGTACAGCTTTAAAAGAGTATCATTACGTTCAGTTAGAGAAAATAACGAATCAAATATAGAGATTCGCAAAGAATACGCGAATTGGTTTGTAGATGTAGCATATATGAAGGGAAAATTTATATTTATCGAAGAGAGCGGGTTTTCAATATCAATGAGGCGATTATATGGATATTCCCAAATAAATAAAAAGGCAATTAAAAATGTTCAAGGAATAAAGACAATAAATTACACTATCATTGCGGCTCTCACAATTGCAGGAATATTTCGATTCGAAGTTCTTGATGGCCCTTGCAATGCTATATATTTTAGCAACTTTATAAATGAAATATTAAATCATTTTAAAGAATCTAACATGATTAATATGATTTTTG